GCTCAGTTCTTTGCAGACAAAGTCGCTTTGATCCGCTCTGGTCTGGACACCATATTAACGGCAGTCTCTGAGGATGTAACACGAGCATCTGCTTGTCCGGTTTTGATGGATTCATTTCAATTGGTTCAATCCGAGGATGTGGACAAGGTGCTTGGAGGAATGAGAGCTACCACATGCATCCTAGACCCCTGCCCATCCTGGCTTCTGAAGGAGGCCAGAGGGGGATTGGCCGAGTGGGTGAAGGTGGTGGTTAATGCCTCCCTCCGGGAAGGCAAAATTCCAGCCAGCTTAAAGCAAGCTGTAATAAAACCGCTGTTGAAAAAACCATCACTGGACCCCACTCAATTTGTCAACTTTCGGCCTGTTTCCAATCTCCCCTTTTTGGGCAAAGTCTTGGAATGTGTGGTGGCCTCACAAATCCAGGCATTCTTGGTAGACACGGATTATCTGGATCCGGCACAGTCTGGCTTTAGGCCGGGGCATGGTACCGAGACAGCCTTGGTCGCCTTAGTGGATGATCTGCGCCGGGAGCTCGACAGGGGGAGTGTGTCCCTGTTGGTGCTGCTGGACCTCTCAGCGGCCTTCGATACCGTCGACCACGGTATCCTTCTGGGACGCCTCGCGGGAATGGGTCTTGGAGGGACTGTTTTACAGTGGCTCCGCTCATTCCTTGAGGGTCGGTCTCAGAAGGTGTTACTGGGAGACTCCTGTTCAACCCCACAACCTTTGTCTTGTGGGGTTCCTCAGGGTTCAATACTGTCTCCCATGTTGTTTAACATCTACATGAAGCCGCTGGGTGAGATCATCAGGAGTTTCGGAGTGCGATGTCATCTGTACGCAGATGATGTCCAACTCTGTCACTCCTTCCCACCTGCTACTAAGGAGGCTGTCGAGGTCCTGAACCGGTGCTTGGCCGCTGTGACGGTCTGGATGAGGGCGAACAAATTGAAATTGAATCCAGACAAGACAGAGGTACTCCTGGTCAGTCGCAAGGCCGAACAGGGCATAGGGTTACAGCCTGTGTTGGACGGGGTTACACTCCCCCTGACGACGCAGGTTCACAGCTTGGGTGTCATCCTGGACTCATAGTTGAGCCTGGAAGCCCAGGTCTCAGCGGTGACCAGGGGAGCATTCGCACAGTTAAAACTTGTGCGCCAGCTGCGCCCGTACCTTGGGAAGTCTGACTTGGCCACGGTAGTCCACGCTCTGGTTACATCCCGTTTAGACTACTGCAACGCTCTCTACGTGGGGTTGCCTTTGAAGACGGCCCGGAAGCTCCAATTAGTCCAACGCTCGGCAGCCATGATGCTAACTGGAGCGGAGCGCAGGGAGCATACAACTCCTCTGCTGCACCAGCTCCACTGGCTGCCGATCTGCTACCGGGCTCAATTCAAAGTGCTGGCGCTGGCCTTTAAAGCCCTAAACGGTTCTGGCCCAACTTATCTATCCGAACGTATCTCGGCCTATCAGCCCACCAGGACCCTAAGATCTTCTGGGGAGGCCCTGCTCTCTATCCCGCCTGCTTCACAGGTGCGGCTGGCGGGGACGAGAGACAGGGCCTTTTCTGTGGTGGCCCCTCGGCTATGGAACGCCCTCCCCATGGAGGTAAGATCAGCCCCCTCATTGATGGTATTCCGGAAAAGACTAAAAACCTGGATGTTCGAGCAGGCGTTCGGTTAACTCAGTGCAATAAGTGTAATGATTGAAGGACTGGCAATTTGGACGACGAAACTGGATCGCGATTTTAGTCAAGAGATGAATTGGATTGTTTATTGATATATGTATTGTGGATCGTGTTTTTATGCTTTTAAACTGTATACTGTTGTTTGTTATAAGTTGTTGTAAACCGCGTTGAGTCGCCGGCTAGGCTGAGAAACGGCGGTATACAAGTATAGCATATATATATATACACACAGTTGAAAGAAAGGATGCATAACTTGGGAAGATAAGCCTGTGTCCCAATAGTTAGTATTACAGTGGACTGGGTCCAAAGTTTACCTTCCTTTCGTAAAAAAAGACTTTACCATTGGAATCCAAACCACTGAATAACTTTAACAAAGCTCACTCCACACTACTCTTGCGTGAAGATTATGCATGTTGTAGGATGTGAAAAAAACAATCCCCTACTGCATGTAGAACTTTATCAATTTGGACTTATCTGTATAGAAATGACAACAGGTAGGCACTAAAAAGATAACTAAATTATACAGTTGTGGTTTTTATGCAGAAGGGCCTGATTCATACAGCAAAGGCAGATGACTACACTCTCTCTTGCTTTGCAGACAGCCTACACATGGCACCACGGGACTCAGATTGAAACCACCAATGTGGAAAAATGTGAGAAAAATGTAACGTTATAATCCACAGGGTATATCCGATAGCACTGAAACAGATATCATAACAAGCTGGCATTGACATTTACAGAAATGAAAGAAATGCCTATGACAGCTTCCTTCAAAAAGGTCTTGTTCAATTCTTTTCATCCAGCCATATTTGACTAGCTGCTCAACAAAACATGTTGGCTCAGCTGTTTTCTGTTTCCTGTGTTTGTAGTTTTGCTGACTGAAGCAGGGATGTATCAAGGACTCCTGAAACTTTGTGGTCCAATTTCCCTACCAGGCACCTTCTAGAACAAAGCAGGATGGAAACAGCAGGTAATCTAATTGAAAGTGACAGCTTAGTAGAGAGAATACAGAAAAAGCAAGGGCTAAACCTAAGAACCATCTTTGTGTGTCCTTTGCTGTCTATGATACAAAGAAAACAAACTTGATGGAAATTCCTGCCTTGTACACATATCAATACTTCATCACAATAGTTGCCCTGATCATTATAACAGCAAGGGGCCAGTCTTTTTGGCCTCCTCTCAATCAAGAAACAACAGGTCACTTGAAGTCTGTACTTCTGACTCCCACCCATAGCAAGTGGATGAGTCTGCCCTCCATATATTGTAACAAAATTTGATTTTTCCCCTGTTCCTGGTTTGAAAGTGTTATTCCTGTTTAATTGTACTATGAAAGCAGTTGTTATATTCCAGAAACTTTGTTTTTGTGGCTACCACAAACTGTTGAATTGGTTGAGACTCTATGAGACACTTACTAAAAAACTGAAACAAAATGTGCTGCTGGATGTCTGAAAAAACAGTCTTTGCAGATTAATAAACGTATTCCATGTTTTTATGATAGAACCAATTAAGAAATAACATTTATAACACAGGAACAATAATTGTGTTACATGGTGTTACATAGTGTAACCTCCATTTGGTCTGATAGTGATTTTTCTGGGTCTGTGGGAAGGAAATGAACCCAGAGAGATCTCCCTGCTAGGAGGACACAGCATGATAAACCACAGCACACATTTTAAACCATCCCACTGCTCAGAGCGACTTGCCCCAACATGTTGTTTATATGAATAAGGCAGAGTTCCTGTGAAAATATAGCTTTCTGTGACATATAAAAATGAGACCAAAGTTTCACCACAAGTTCCCAAAGGGGAAATGAGAGAAAGTCCTATGTATAATATTACTATGCAGCTGGAAGTTAAACTGAGCAGATGTTTTGATCGGGCTTGAGCACTTTTTTGTTGTTGTTTATTTGCTAAGTTGCTTCCGACTCTTCATGACCGCATGGATCAGCCCACACCAGAGCTCCCTGTCAGCTGTGGCCACCCCAAACTCCTTAAAGGTCAAGCCAGTCACGTCAAAGATAACATCCACCCATCTTGCCCTTGGTCGGTCCCTCTTCCTTTTTCCTTCAATTTTCCCCAGCACCAATATTTTCTCCAAGCTTTCTTGTCTTCTCATTATGTGGCCAAAGTACTTCATCTTTGCCTCTAATATCCTTCCCTCCAGTGAGCAGTCGGGCTTTATTGACTGGAATATGGACTGGTTTGATCTTCTTGTGGTTCAAGGCACTCTCAGAATTTTCCTCCAACACCACAGTTCAAAAGCATCTATTTTCCCTCGCTCGATCTTCCATTATTATTATTATTATTATTATTATTATTATTATTATTATTATTATTATTATTATGGTCCTGCTCTACTACAGGGAATACAACTGCTTTAACTATGTGGATCTTTGTTGCCAGTGTGATGTCTCTACTCTTAACTAATCTATCGAGATTGGACATTGCTCTCCTCCCAAGAAGTCTTCTGATTTCCTGGCTGCAGTCTGCATCTGCATCTTCACATCTGGAAATATAAAGATCTCCACTTTTCAGCTTCAAGTATGGTCTACAACTTTATACTAAAAGACCCCTTGGAGAAATTAATACTGGCCCAGGAAAAAAACAAAGAAGACCCTACTGGTCTGAAAGAAGAATGCCTAAATCCATTATCAGGTTAACACTTTCATTAGGACTACAGATAAAGTAAAATAAAATAAACACTGTGACGATGATATTGTCTGACTGTAGACAAAACTTGAGACTATAAATGTTTGACTATAAACAATCTTCTATAAACATCATTTTAAAGTACTGGAAATACTTGATTAATTTGACCTAAATGTGGCATATGAACCCGGTAGAAGTTTGCAAATTCAAGATCTGCCTGTTATATATGCTGAACAATTTTTTCAGGTATATATAGGTACAAGTGCTTTGAACTGTAATCCTAAGAACAACTTCATGAAACTATAATTCTGGTCTACAGAGATCAATGGTCTTTCTTTGCTGAAATATACAGAGAGATAACAGTTCTTATTGGGCTGAAAAAACAGTTCTATTTCTTAAAAAAAAAAACATTAATGGTAATATTATTCAGGCTGTGTGCTCCAAAAATGTATATCCTTAACCCCTTCCCACACATTCATCCTCTTTTCCCTTTTGTGTCATCTTTTAATTAGATTGTAAGCCTGAAGACAGGGAACAGTATTGTTTTACGTTGTAAAGTACCATATACATAGATGGCACTATATAAATAAATGATAATGATGATGATAATGTTAAGAAGTATTCACTGTCTGTGTTATATTAGGAAATAATTCAAGAATTAAGCTTACCTTTACTAAACAGTTTTTATGACCTGGAACACAACCGTGTACATATATGATATTGAACTTTGTACTGACTCGCCACACCTGAAAGATTGAAATTACCAAATTTATTTATTTATTTATTTATTTACTTACTTACTTACTTTATATACCGCTTTTCTCAGCCCTCAGGCAAATTCAATTCAAACTATGTTTTGATAAATATTCCAAAAAAATGTATTAAATAAGATATTTTAAACAGTTTTAAAAGACCCTGTACATGTTCCAGTGCCAAAATAAGTCAATGTCACCACCAAGAGGACCTCTAAACAGAGACCACCCCAAAATCGGGGCATTACAATATTGAAGATTCTCTCCTATTGCTTCCACTGACTGGAAACAAAGGAGGGCTCCCCAGTAGACCATTCTTTTGGCAGATGCACATAGGGAGATGTCAGAAACATTAAAAATTAACTATTATTTATTTATTTATTTATCATATTTATATACCGCCCCTCTCAGCCCAGAGGCGACTCGGAGCGGTTCACAACTTGACAGCAATTCAATGCCTCAACAATTATAACAATTAAACAATCATAAAATCCTGTTAAAAACAATAGCAAACAATATAAAAACATTAAAACCGTACAAAGCCTTTAAACTAGGCATTTTTAATTACAAAAATGTGAGTTGAGTACTGAAAGGGTTAAATGGATACACTGACTAAGCAAATGCTACAGTTCAATATAAGCAGGTGTGCCTGTAGCTTTGTACGCCTCAGGGTTAGTTGCCCTCAGCATGAAGAGGCTTCAGCCTGAACAGGCCTCAGTGTGAGGTAAGTAGGCCTCAGTGTGAGAAGGCCTCAGTGTGTGAGAGGTCTGGTGTGAGGTGTGGTGCAAGAAGGTTTCGGTGAGAGAAGCTCCTGGTTGAAGACCTTGTGTGTATAGCTTCAGTGTGACGGCTGCTGTGTACAAAAAACTATTGTGTGAAGGTTCTGTGTAAGTTTAGTGTGAGAAGAGGCTCTGTCAGAGTGAAGCTTTTTATCTGCATGAGAAAGAAGCCTAGCATGGAAGCAAAGAAGAAAGTACAAAGAAGTTATTTGTGTTATGGAAACCTTGTTCTTGTCAATAGTGCAACCATATTATTTTTCTATAAAAAAAGTCTTCTAAGGAAGATATAACATTGGCCTGTATTCTGTGTGTTTTTCTTCTATTTATCACTTTTGGTTACTGGTGCTGGGTCACACTGCTGCTAATACGAGGAAGGTCTTTTGTTAATTAGCCTACTTGCCCAACAGGAGAGACATTCCATCAAGTATCAAGCCATTTAGGGTTTTCGATGTTATGAAGCAGAGCCTTGGGCTGTTAACAGAAACAGACTGTGGAAACCACTGCTATTCTCTTAAGATGAATTATATATGTGTTGTCAAAGGCTTTCATGGCTAGAATCACTGAGCTGCTGTGAGTTTTCTGGGCTGTATGGACATGTTTCAGAAGCATTCTCTCCTGATGTTTCACCCACATCTATGGCAGGCATCCTCAGAGGTTGTGAGGTCTGTTGAAACTAGGCCAGTGAGGTTTATAAAAACCCTACTTTCCTAGTTTCCAACAGACCTCACAACCTCTGAGGATGCCTGCCATAGATGTGGACAAAACATTAGGAGTGAATGCTTCTGGAACATGTCCATACAGCCTGGAAAACTCACAGCAACCCAAACATTTATATAGTTTCTAGATGATATTCTGATCAGCAATCTCACAAATATGTTTGCACTAGTTGCGCCTTCAAAACTATTATCAAAGGCAGCTTCATGTCTATGTGTTGCATTGAGCATGTCTCAAAGATAATTCTATATTCAGATTTCACTTTTATCAAACTGGCCCAAGTATTACACACATTCCAACACAGCCTCCCCCTTATCCCATGCACTTAATTCTCACCTTTAGTCCTTTTGTTGTCCTGTAACAGTTGCCCATTTGCCCAGGCATTTTCTTTCCCTTGAAGACTCTGGCAACTTTCTATCTCCAAAAAAAGAAGAAGAGAGAGACAGAGAGATATTTAGATATGCAGGCAGTCCTTGAGTTACAAACATCTGATTTACAAATTACTCATAGTTAAGAACAGGGATGAGACAACAGGAAGTGAGAGAAATCCCTCAGAAGGGAAATTCACTCCTGGAAAAGTTATCATGGGGAAAAGGTGTTTTCACCGAGGCTTATCTCCAATCCTTGTTTCCACAACAAGCCATTTTTTTCAAAATCCAGTTATCACAGGGACAGAAAGTGAGGTGAAGTCATCTGAACAGGGGCACAGGCAGCAAAACAAACACCACAGGGGTATTAACTCTTTCCTATGCCATCCAAAGCTTATATATATATACACACACACACAACTGGTATTACATTTCAAAAATGTACCTGTTCCAACTTACATACAAATTCAACTTAAGAACAAACCTACAGGATCTATCTTGTTTGTAACTTGGGGACTGCCTATGTTTCATGGAAATACACATATACAGAGCATTTTCAAGGGTAAACATAAATTACATAGTATACAAGTTATATATTGAGTGCAGAGCTATAAAGATTCGTTCCAAAGTAAGCTTTATTTTGTCCAGTGGAGCTTCTTCCAGGCAAATGAGAAGGGGTTACATGCTAAGGTAATTACTTAATGTTCCAATAAGTCCTTGGTTTATGGACTTTTGGTTTTGATTCAGAGTCTGGATCTAACTACAGCCATTTTTAGAATACCTGTTGTGTGGCTCCAAGTCATTTCTGACTTATAGCAACCCTAAGATAAACCTGTCATGGATTTTTCTTGGAAAGATTTCTTCAGAGGGATGTGAGTGGCTCAAGGTTACTCATACCAGAGCAAGGATTCCAACCCTTGTCTCAAGTCTTAGTCTAACACTCAAACCACTACAACACACTGGCTCTTAGGTAAGAGTAGAGCAGTCAACTTTGAACCGTGAGTGTTTTTAGTATTGCTGTTACATTTTGATCTTCGTCCCACGTGTTTTGGTGTATGTATTTTATAATGGTGTATTTTGACATATCTATTTTGTTGTATGCATTTTATGTTAATGTGTTTTAACTATATTGCACCGCAATATAGCCGTGAGGAGAGGCAGGTAACAAATAAAAATTTTATTACAATTATTATTATTACAATTATTATTATTATTATTATTATTATAAAATGTAAATGATTTACTGAACAATATATACAAAGCTTGGAGTACTTACACTATTGGAAATTGCTCCAGGTCGCCTGTGTGTTTTAGTCTGACCATGACTAGCAGGCTGGCCTTTAAATCCCCATCTTTTCATGACTCCTTGGAAGCCTTTGCCAATCCTGAGAACAAAGAAAGCCAAACTAAGTCAATTTTGAAAGAACCATGTGTTTCTAGGACCAGAAAACTAGCTGATATTGGCTACATGCTCAATATATGAAACAAAATCAATGATGGCTTCTGGTAGAACCGTAGAATGTGTGGGTGCTATGGTTCTATGGACAGATTTTGGGTAGTGTGCAGGTTAAGAAAAATAAAAAGAAGTCCAAAAACTCAATTGCCATGGAAAGTTTTCCTATTTGTTTATTGCTAATTGGACTTCGCATTGCTATTGCTTTGGTTTTATCTGGTTGTTTCATATATTTAGCATGAACGTTGTTGTTTATTCGATCAGTCGTTTCCGACTCTTCATGACCTCATGGACTAGTCCACACCAGAGCTCCCTGTTGGCTGTGGCCACCCCCAGCTCCTTCAAAGGCAATCAGTCGCTTCAAGGATGTACTCTAAATCACATACCCACCAAGAGTAATATTTTTTGAGTCTACATAAACAAACCATCAAAAAGATACCCTTTAAACAGAAAACAGCAAATTGCCCATAAAGTATGATCATTTCTTTAGCTATCAGCACAATTACTTTTTTATTACAGGTCTATCTTTCTGCAACATTTGGTTAAGCAAATGAGAACAACACAAACATGGGGTTCTTTTTTACATTTCTAATTTCCAAACAGCTACTCCATGCCCTATTAAGTTTGCATTTGCATTTTGTGTTTAAGAATCAAATAGCATTTGCTTCAAGTTAGAGGAGATTTGTGGTGGCAGTCTTAAACTTAACAAGAATAGCCTCAATGAATCAACTGGATTTACCTATGTGCTAGCTTTACTGATTTTCTTGAATTGAAGCTTTAAAAGTACTTACAGAACAGTGTAATAATTTTTTTTATTTAAAACTGAATTGTAATGTTTTTACTGAAATGTATATTAACTACAGAAAAGTATGCCTGGGGGATGTAATTTGATGCACACTTACCTGAGTGTGCACAGAATTGCACACTCGGGTAAGTGTGATTAAACATATGGTGGACCTTTAGTTTATCCTGGTTAAACATATAGTGGAGCTTTAATTCTGCATATGAATACTAAGAATTGGAGCTATAAATGTTAAATACTTTAGGTTTTTTTTTTACATTTTCTGTGTCTTGTAAAGAGTATCAGTAACTCTAAACCTGCATATTACTTGACTCTAAAATTACAGCTTTCATTCATAAATATATAGTATCCCTGAAACTAGTATTTTAGAACAAATTTGATATACAATACAAATACTACTTAAGACCTGCTCCAGCGCAATACTATAAAGCAAGCAAATGTGTAAGCCCTCCTAGAGTATGTATGGAAGCCAGAGTCTGCCACATAAACAGAAATTCTAATGCTCAGCAGGTGTTCATGTGGCTTTTGCAATACCCGCAAAACACAATGGGCATAAATCCAGCTGAAGTTAAGCTCTTTTCGTAATCACACACAAATAATTTAGAACAATATGAGCAAAGCTGGATTTTCCAGCCGCAATGTTTCACAACTGACCATTCAAACTATAATGGATTTCTCAAAAGTTGTCAGACAGAGTATATCACAATTGCTGAGAATCAATCACTCAAGGCTAATGCAACAATAACATGAAAACGCACACACAACAAATTAAGCTGCACTGAAATGTAATGTACCTCAGTGCAAGGGCCCAAGGAAGCAAAATAGGTGGTAAGGAAGCTGAACTGTAAATCTTCAGCACCTATGCTATAGTATGCCCGAGACAGGATGATGCTTGAAATACTGTATTTACTCGAGTCTTATGTGCCATCAAATCTAATGCACAATTTTCAAAACTCTGAAACCCAAAGAAGTATTTACCATATTAGGCAAATCTAATGTGTACCCTAGTTTTGGGAAAGTAATTTAGTAAAAAAAGATGAGCATTAGTATTGAGTAAATACGGTATTTTGAAAAGATGGCATAAGCTACAATTGAGGACTAACAATAATGCAGTTACATTTTCTCAATAGAATGCACTAATACATTCAATTTAGTTCTGCATATCCCAATAAATGGTTCTAATTGGAACCCAAATTATTGCAAAGATACAGTCATTCCTTGCTTATGCTTCCTTCCTTTATGGCTTCTTCGAGTTACATCCAATGGTTGTCTTACATGAAGCAGACCTGATGAAATATATACAGGAGTTCTTAGTAGTCTCAACCAGCTTAAATATGCTCTAGGAAAAAGTGAATGCTGTAAGCCCCTTCACACAGGATCCTTATGTCAGCTCCTTGTAAACTGCTGGGAACCGTGTAGTCTTCCGTCTGCTGGATTACAAATTCCAGCATTCTTCATGGGTTCTTTTCCTGGTTGAACATGAGAAGTTGCAGTCCAACAATGGCTGGAGGGCTAAATGACTAACAATGGCATCTGGAGGGCTGAACGACTGCTAACAACCCATGTTTTAAATCAGTGGTTCCCAATCTTTTTTTGCTCAGAGACCACAAGACCAGGGATCACTTGATGAGGGACCACTCTCCAACATTAGTACCAAAAGGGTTACGAATCAGTTTTTGGTCAGCTTTAGATTCAGTTTGCTTATTTTGGGTGCTGATTAAGTAAATTGCATTGGATAGACCAGTAAATTGCATTGGATAGATTCGCTTTAGTTTCTGATACAGAATATATGCCATCCAGCAGTTGCAATCTGCTCGCCCACAGAAAACCATATTTAATAATCTAGAGATGATGTAATAGTAGTAATCTTTCATGGGTAGTCAGCCTCTCCCTCCCAACATCCTATTGCCTCAGTACTATAAAAGGGTTTTGTGAGACCAGTCGCTCTCATTGTTGCGTGGTTTCGAGGCAACAGTGCAGTAATGGTAAAGCCGCGGACCATATTTTCGTTCTTGCGGACCACTGGTGGTCCACAGACCACAGGTTGGGAACCACTGTTCTAAACAAACCAATAAATAAAACTATACATATGGATTCTTTGCCATTATTACTGATCATACCTAATTTAAAGGGCTGCATCTTGTTTCTCTCCTCTCATTTTAAAATACAAATGTGAAGTTAAAGCAACAAAGTGAAAATGACATAATTCAGTGCAATGAATGTTTACACAAGAGGCACAATTACATCAAATGCATTTTGATGTAGCTGACTTATCCAACAACCACAAATACCAACAATCTTTCCTTGCAAGGAATTATAGTATTTTTTTAAAAAAATAATAATTTGTGTTTAATCAGAAGCTGGAACTTGAGATGCCAAGATTAAGTTTTGGAGCACTGACCACATACAATAGAAATTGGGATGCTATGAATGTGTTAAATATAGAAAGGAATTTGCAGAGTGTGGTGCAGGGAAGGCCCTACAGTGACAATTCATGACCTGCAGGCACCTAACTTCAGAGAAAATAGGTCTGTCAACTTTAATCAGCCAGTATAATCCCTGTGACATAAGACTAAGCACCCACTCCGGCATTTCACCTAGATGGCCCTTTTTAAAGGGAAAAGAAGCATCATCTACACATAAATGGGGCTTTTCAAGGGATAAAAATCGAAAAGCAATTTCATCACAACAAATTGCATACGTGTAAGAAACTGCACCTCTCTGCACAATTTCTCCTCCAACTCCTCAATGTCTTCTTTCATTTTTAACAAGATCTAAATATCCGTCAGTATGAAAATTTCTGGTTGTTTATTGCAACTGAGCATGAATACACTCTTTCTAAACACATCAAATGCCATAAATTTATAGCCAATGCTTGTATTGCACAGTCTTCAGCATGTAACAGGAATTTCTCTTGCCATGGAAGGAATTTATGTGGAGGCTTTTGACCCTTTCTAGATGATATTTCCAACCCCCATCACCTACGAACAAGCTGCTAAGAGTAGGAGTACATCTTGGCCTTATGTGCTTCCACCTCTCTCATTATCACCACAGAAGGTAATGCTCAAAGTGAGTCATTCGACATTTATTTACATGTGGAGATTGATCTTGCAATGAAGAGGATGTCTCAGTTACCACTATAGCACCGATTCCCAAATGTTTCAAAACAAATCTTGAATTTTGCTGGCAAAACATGGGAATCTAAAGAAATTACTTAATTAAAATAGTAGTAATGTATTAGCTAAGTTAAGGTCAAGACTACAGCATAAATTTTGTTATTAAATACCATTAAGTCAAATTGGACCCTTATGAATGAGAGACATTATACCAACTGCTCAAGACTTCCTTTTTTAAAAGTAAGAGCTAATACCATACTTGACTTCTATCAGAAAAGGAAGTATCTTTAGAGTGGCTGAAGGCCTTTTTGACTGCCTGGGTTGAAAAATGGCAATAGCAGCAACTAGGCTGCCCTGAAGTGGTTCTGGCTCTTTCCCCTCTCCATGAAATGATCCTTGACTTATTTATTGGTCATATCAAACCCCATAATTTTGGTCTCCAACCCTCACCTTGACATATATGAAGTCACCTTAGTATCTACTAAGGTTGAGTTTCAAGACCCCGGTTCCGTGGATACCAAAATCATGGAGGCTCAAGTCTCCTTGTGTACAATGATTCGGGGAAATTGTGTCCCTTGTACAAAATGACAAAGTAAAGCTTTACATCTTGTGGAAATTTTTGGTTTTAATTTTAAAAAAACATGCACAGTTGAATCCATGGTTACATAGGGCAGACAGCAATTCAATAAAATAATACGAGCTATACTCAAAGGATGAGCAGGTGCAATATAAACCTGTACAAATAGCTATAGGCTTTCCTTCACTGTAGAAGGCAAAGAACTGAGTGGATGAGTAGTGTTTTAAAAGTCAAAGTGCTGTTTTCCTGCTGAGCACTGGGAAGTGCTGCAGCGAAATATGGTGCTGTCTTATCCCACAAGATTCTCTACACTCACTGCCCTTATACAGAAACTGAAATCTTAATCTCTCAAATGCTATGCACTTCAAGAATGAAAGAAAATACAAATGAATTCACAACTGCGGGAAATTGAACCAAATAAATTATCCAATGTCACCATTTAGTTCAAAGAGGAGTTGTGACTATCCTAATAAAGGCTGATTATCCCTTACCCAAAAATGTTTTAGATTTCAGATTTTGGAATACTTGTATATAAGTAAACAATAAGATATCTTAGAGATGGGACCCAAGTCTAAACATGAAGTTCATTGATATTTTAGATACACTTTATACACAGAACATGAATGTAATTTTATATACAATATTTTAAATAATTTTGGGCATGAAACAAAGGTTGTAAACACTGAACCACCAAAACAATTGTTGTCTTTACTCATGCAATTTTGGAGTATTTTGGTTTTTAGAATTCTAGATAAGGAATGGTCAGCCTGCATTACTGTAATGAAACTCTAACAACACCTGCCCATTAGCTATATTAAAAAATCGACATGTAAGAAATGCAGATTAATAACATTTGCAGGATCAAATGTTATTTACTCCTCATCCTGTTCTTAGTTTCATCTGTTCCTCTTTTTGTCTTCAGAAGAAAAATCTGGATTAAAAAAAACTTTTGACCCGTAACTTTACTATTTTTTTCTGTGCTATTTATTAATGCTTTTATTTCTATATTTCAGTATATAACTATAAAAACCTGCACCAGAAGGCCTTTATTTATTTATTTATTTCGTTTCTACCTTGCTTTTCTCACCTTGCCAGGGACTCAAGACAGTTTACAAACTCCAGCAAAATTAAATGCCGCATAGACACAATAATAAAACACATCCCATCAAATTATAAAACATTCAAAATGTATGACCCATTAAAACACATAAACAATAAAACAGATTAAAACCATATAAAGTGCCAAATCATTATTCGGACTGTTGAAGACTGGACAATTGTGATTGGATAATGATTTGGTATTGAGATGTAGAGGATTTATGCTTTTATAGATTTTACTGTTTATGGAATTTTATGTATGTTATATGCTTTTAGCTGTTTTTATATTATTGTGGCATCAAATTGTGCCATTCTGTAAACTGTCCTGAGTCGCCTTCGGGCTGAGGAGGGCGGTATAGAAATATAAATAAATAAATACATAAATTCCTGTAATATCCTATTGTCCAAACACCTGTGTAGAAAGCCAGGTCTTAAGCTTTGTTCTAAAGACCAGGAGGGATGGGGCCTGCCTGATAAATCAAATTACCAGAAAACATAACACACACCACTAATTGCTCATTTCAACATGTTAATAGCTATAGGGTACAACTTACGTTTTTGCAGTGACATCCACGTACTGCCCAGGACGAAAGTGGGCTGCATAAAGAGGAGTGCCTAAAAATACATGTGGGGGAGGGGGGATGTAAAAAAAAAAAGCAAACGCATGAAGTTGCAAATAATTAGCATCAGTGATTACTAAGCATGCATAAATAAGACAATCAAGTGAGTAAGCCTCAAGTTACATGAAAATGCTGACTGGCAATCTGTCCAGAATTTGAAAAGTCTTACAAACTCATTAATGTTGCTATTCATATCATCAATGCACCATTCTTAAAATCACGAATGTCCCCAGACCCCACCCCAAATTAGGCAGCTGTAGCAGCCAAAGAAATTCTGCAGCATTATGCCACCAGTGCTCTGCCACCAGCAATTTGCAGTGTGACAAGCAATGATGACAGGAACCAACAGGGAATTTAGGGGATCAGGTGAGGAGATGGATTTTAACTACATCATTGTAGCAACATTCAGTGTCTTGGCCACTGTTTGGACTGCATATATATCTAACCTGTAGTATATGGACTACAGGGTAGATATATATGTAGTGGAAACAGTGGATGAACCCAATGCAAAAAAAAGCTTTCCCTTTGAATTCCTTCCTCTTACTTTGGAAAAATATATTATTGTGTATTTCTATTTTAGTTTGTTTTAGCTGTTTTTGTTTGGTTCTACACAGCCTGCTCCTGGGATGTTAAAACTTCATTACTTTTTTTCTTTTTCTTTCCTTTTTTTCTATTGATTGATTTTTTGATTGCACACCACTTTGATTGTAAATAAGACTTGTTTGTATCAAAAAGTAATTTTTAAAAAGTCACATTTCAAAATAAGCACTTAAAAAACAGCTAATCATATAGGACATTAACAGTAATTTTATCTTCCTATGGAATACAACCTTTTACATGTATGAGATTTAGTCCCCTCTATTCCTGGATATTAAAACATGCCAGCATGCTTTTGAACCTCTCTGCAAATACCAGTATTATCCAACATGGAGCCCTCGATGGCGCAGTGGGTTAAACCCCTGTGCCGGCAGGACTGAAGACCGACAGGTCACAGGTTCGAATCCGGGGAGAGGCAGATGAGCTCCCTCTATCAGCTCCAGATCCTCATGCGGGGACATGAGAGAAGCCTCCCACAAGGATGATAAAAACATCCAATCATCCGGGCGTCCCCTGGGCAACGTCTTTGCAGATGGCCAATTCTCACACCAGAAGCGACTTGCAGTTTCTCAGGTCGCTCCTGACACGACAAAAAAATAATAATCCAACATTATATTAAAAGTTTTCCATTTTGCAAATATTACCTGGCTTAATGATAGCATTTTCTGTCACTCGAAATGTTGAAATTTTCTGCTTTGGAGGGAGACCAACTTCTCTGTACATCTCAAGAACAGACTCAGCTTTCTAAAAGAAACACAACCATTTTTTTAAGCAATATTTTTAGAATTTAGATTCTGACAATAAAGAAGCATAAGAAGTTTAATACTAATTTAAACTACCAAGCAGAAGATAATGTAATAATTAAAGAGAATCTTTTTTGAAGAAATCATGGACTACAGATTACGATAATATAACAGCACCATCCTATGATTTGAAAATTTCATTGTTTTCAGAAACTCTCAGACCTACTTAATTGTATGTATGGCAGTTCCAACTTCAGGAGGTGGGGGGGCATGATACAAACTTGAGAATGATGAAAACCATAGGGATGAATCCTGCAAATTGGATGGCCGACTATAATGCTAAATCATAATTCAGAAGAATAACGAATCATAACTTAGGAGTTACAAGAATGAACCTGTTATCCCCCTCATCCAATCTGGGAGGGATGTGAAGCTTTTCAATCTATTTTTAAAAATCAAATCAAGCTTAAGAATAACATCTAAACCTGTCCAAATTACAGCTGGTAGTAACTGTACTTCGTTGGTTTCTTCAAAGCTGGCACAACTTAGTAAAACATGGTTAATGATAGGTTTGCTGTGAGTTTTCCGGGCTATATGGCCATGTTCCAGAATCATTCTCTTCTGACTTTTCTTCCACATCTATAGCAGGCATCCTCAGAGTTTGTGAGGTCTGCTGGAAACTAGGCAAGTGGGATTTATATATCTGTGGAATGTCCAGGGTGGGAGAAAGAACGTTTGTATGTTTGAGGGAAGTGTGAATGTTACAATTGGCCAGCTTGATTAGCAGTGAATAGTCTTGCAGCTTCAAAGTCTAACTGCTTCCTGCCTGGGGGAATCCCTTGTTGGGAGATGCTGGCTGGCCTTGATTGTTTCCTGTCTGGAATTCCCCTGTTTTCTGAGTGTTGTTTTTTATTTACTGTCTTAATTTTAAAGTTTTTTTAATACTGATAGCCAGATTTTGTTCATTTTCATGGTTTTCTCCTTTCTGTTGACATTGTCCACATGTTTATGGATTTCAATGGCTTCTCTGTGTAGCCTGACATGGTGGTTCTTAGAGTGGTCCAGCATTTCTGTGTTCTCAAATAATATGCTGTGTCCAGGTTGGTTCATCAAGTACTCTGCAACAGACTTCACAACTTCTGAGAATGCCTGCCATAGATGTGGGTGAAACGTTAGGAGAGAATGCTTCTAGAACATGGCCATACAGCCCGGAAAACTCACAGCAACCCAGTGATTCTGATCATGAAAGCCTTCAACAACACATGGTTAACAATGGCTTTGGGGTTCATAGATAGCAATGAAACTGAAACTAAAACTCAATTTTAGCCCCCAGTCACCTTGTTGCCTATAGTTGATTATGGCTATGATTAAGGAAAGTTTTCATGTTTGAAACTTTCATAGGCTTGTTGTTATAACTAAATGGTGGTTATGTGTAAACACAGCCTAGTGTAATATATGTACATTATAAAATGGTTATATGATGTTTCAAATACTTCTGTAAAGCGTTGTTTTGTTTGAAAATTCTTGCTGGTTTTTAAATGAACTCTAAAGATTTTTCCCTCCAGGCAGTTTTTGCATCATTTATTTATACATCATCATCCATGTACTATGTATACTGCTATGGTGATGCAATCACTTGCTGTGCTGACATTATTTGAATGCTGATTTTATTTGTTTTCCTATTTTTGTGCTCATCATTACTGATGTATGTGCTCGTTTCTTTGTTATTATATTTTCTTTTAACAACAACATTTTAATACTGTTTTTGGATACCCTTCTTATGGTGTTTTAATGACTACTATAAACCAACGTGGGAGAATAATTTCTCATAAACAATGGTTTAAAAATCTACTAAAATACTATGTACAAATAAAATAACACAAAATCAAAATATGGGACATCCATAACAGTAAGTTATGGGCCAAAGTTCCTATCTTGCAGGAATTCCATTGAGCTCTTGACCCATATTATATCAATACTATTGTTTAAAAATGCACTAATGTGGAAAGTCCAAGTTCAATAATATATGCACAAGTCCAAAGTCAGAACAAAAATGAGAATGTAGTGATTCCTTTAAGTTTGCAATGTTAATTGAACATACCAGGAACACTAATCCTTAATAAAGGGTACTTTTAAAATTAACCAAATACAGATAAGGATTAATTCGGGAAATGTCCTTGAGTTTACCTCTGATCCTATTAACTAAATAGAAGCTAAATGAATGAAAACTGAAAATAGATAAAGCCATATATCTGAATTTTATGCTATAAATGGATACCCCTCTGAAAGCAATTTAAGTGACTGACAGTAGTGATACACTTGAATAATCACCACCTGGTAGATCGTGTTGCAGAAGTCATCCACAATTTTCCTTTTTCTAAGGAAAATGCCCACCTGAATTTTTGAATGAATTTATGAGAACAATTTAAAGTGTATGCATAGCATCATATAAATTTTTGCACTACTGCCTTTGAACCTAATTACATAATATTAGCCAACACTCACAATTCTGTGGGAAGAGACATAGGCAAAAATCCCTTTGAACTGTCACATCTCAGAGATTCTTACACACTTATAAATCAGTAATATAAAAGAAATAAATATCCAACCCTAATTAGACTTCCTTACATTGATTTCCATTATGATCAACAGAATGAATCTTCAAAATACTACATACAGAATGACAGGTGAGAAACAAAGATAATTTACTCTCAGAAAAAGGGATCAGCTGGCACAACAAACTAGGACTCCAACTGACTGTAGTTTTCCTAAGGCAGGTATGCCCAAATCTGGGCCGGAAGCCAATTGCGCCCCCTGTCCAAATTTCCACCAGTCCTCTCTCTCCAGGCCTCCCTTCCTCGATTTCTTTCCTTCCTTCCTACCTTCCTTCTACCCTGGGAATCAGGGCTCTAGAAAAAGCGGGCTCCTCAGGAGGAGAGAAAGAGAGATGGTGGCCTCCTGCATCCCTTCACCCTGATTATGTGTTGTCTTCTCCTCAGGTGGCTCCGTCCCAGTGGCTCCCTGTCTCTCTCTCTGTTACCTCACAACTTTTTATTTATTTATTTGCAAAGGAAGGTTCCCCAATTGCCCTTCTTGCCCCAAGTGCTTTGTGCTGCTGCTGCAAGGCCTGGAAGGGCAGGATGTGGAGACTGAGCACCCGCCTCGTTTCCCTCCCTCCTCCGTCCTGCCTTCGTCCAGTGCCATCACCACCTCCTCGTGTTTTCCAAAGGCTGCCCTTCTCTCCGGCTCCTCCATTGGGAAGAAAAGGGCCAGGCAGGAAATACAAGCCCTCCGCCCCCACCACAATCGAAGCCCTCACAACATATGCCACTGTCTGAAATGAGTTGAAGGAACACAACAACAATCTTGAATCTGTCATCAGCCAGAAGCAGACCCACATTTCCTACTGAAAGACTGGTATGTTTATGTTGGTTAAAATTATTCTTTGTTTTATATATTGTATTATTCTTTCATGGTTTCTTTTTGAACTACAAATAAGACATATGCAGTGTGTATAGGAACGTGTTCATGATTTTTTTCAAACTATAGTGTGCCCCCTAAACAGGATGAGGAACCTCTATTATCACCTGACTTGAACAATCCCACAAGCAAGTCATGAGAGTGATAACATGGTCTCATAGCCTTCAGCTCATAACAGGCACAACGTGAAGTGTTGTGGCCGGAAAATAATTTAGAGTTTAAGAGCCAAAGATGCAGAGTTCAATCTTTAAAAATTGCAAATGGTTTATTTGCAAAATAAAAAAAAACTACATTTCTTTATAGCAATGAACTAGGTCTGAGCTACTCTCCAACTCCATCTCTCTAGGGTTTAAAAGAGGAAAAAATTTCCAAGAGAGGGAAAAATCTCTCCTGACACACACAAGCAGAGAGAGGTTTCAATACTCAGACGTAAAAAGCAGAAAACTGAAACAGAGGCATGCAATGCACCTGCAAAGTACCTATTCTACATAACCAATATGAATGAGAGCAATAGCGAGAGGAGAGAACTAATAGATACATTCCAACTGTCATTCAGAAGTCAGAGGGGAAGGGATTCCCTCAGCCTATTCCTAAACTGTTCCTAATTGAGAATGCAGACTTGAGCAGTGTGGGGTTAAATTCCAACATATAAAGTTTGCTATTACGCACAATTTCAAGATTCAATGAGGGATCTTGGAATGTATCCCCTTGGAATGTATCTTATGAATGCACTGTAAAGAATATCATACGAAAGCTGACTGGTACAACCTGGGGATCACAACCAGATACAGTGAAGACATCTGCCCTTGCACTATGCTACTCTGCTGCTGAGTATGCATGCCCAGTGTGGAACACATGTGGAACACATCTCACCACGCTAAAACAGTGGCTGTGGCTCTTAATGAAACATGCCGCATTATCACAGGGTGTCTGCGCCCTACACGACTGGAGAAATTACACTGTTTAGCCGGTATTGCACCACCTGACATCCGCCGGGAAGTAGCAACCAATAGTGAAAGGACCAAGGCAGTGACATCTCCAGCCCACCCCGTTTGGTTATCAGCCAGCACGTCAACAACTTAAATCAAGAAATAGTTTTCTAAGATCTATAGAGACACTCACTGGAACACCTCAGTAAGTGAGAGTCCAAAAGTGGCAGGCTCAAACCCAGAACCTCAATCAATGGTTGATACCAAATGAGAGACTCCCCCCTGGGCACACAGAAAACTGGGCGACTTGGAAGGCGCTGAACAGACTGCGCTCTGGCGTCACGAGATGCAGAGCCAATCTTAAGAAATGGGGCTACAAAGTGGAATCCACAACATGCGAGTGTGGAGAAGAGCAAACTACAGACCACCTGCTGCAATGCAACCTGAGCCCTGCCACATGCACAATGGAGGACCTTCTTGCTGCAACACCAGAGGCACTCCAAGTGGCCAGCTACTGGTCAAAGGACATTTAATCAACTACCAAGCTTGCAAACTTTGTGTTTTGTTTGTTTGTTTTTAATGCAATACAACTGTTTGGTTCGCTCCTGACATGATAAATAAATACTGTAAAGAAACAAAATTACTTTCCCAGTTTTTTTTTAAAAAGTTACATAATCAACTTACACGAAACTGAGATCCATTTTTCCCTCCAACAATTAGAGCAGGGTATTTCCCATCACTTTCTTCTTTTGGTATGTGCCGTATCACATGGCAGTCTTGAACCTTCAAAAGATAAATCATTACAGTAAACATGTTATATTACCCCATTTATTTTGGTCATCAAGCAAAACATATTACTGTAAGATGCCACTGAGTGATGCAGCGGTCACTGCAGAACACCCTCAAGATGTTTTGGATTCTGATAAGTAGACTTGTTTGTGCAAGATCAATGGTCAATGGTTAGGAAGGATGGAAGTTCTAGTCCTAATATATGGAGGGGGTAGCAGGAACTAAATTGAGGAATGCTGGCACACAAAATCTCATACTGCAACATTTGGCAACTTATAATCTAATGCTTCCACTCATTTAAGGGACTCACACTCCAATTGCTTATGATACAATAAAATACAATTCATAACAAATAAAACTAATGTTCTCAGAGAACAGTAACCACAGAAAAAGACTCCATCTCAACAACTACATGAATAAATACAGAAGACGAAAGAACCAAGAAAAGAGATTCTGAAGATGATCCTAATTGGCAGATAAAGGCATCAAGGAAAAAAGGTTTTCCTCCGTAAAATGAGAGATTGGTAAAAACAGACTTATATCTAAGTGACTAGATCAGCATTTTTTCTGATTTTTAGTGTTTTAGTACAAATAAAAAGGATGCAGTTCTGCACATGTTTGCTGGAGTAAGTTGTCTCTAAGACTTAGTTTTAATCGAGTGCAAAATAAGAGGTAATGGCATGTCCTGTTATTGATAAAATCGAAAATTGCCAGGAAAATCCCCTACCTCTGCTATGGTTGCTCATGTATTACAACTTGAGTCTCCCTTATGTGGAAATCTGAAATCCAGAACACTCCAGACACCTAAATTATTTGTTGCCAGACACCTACTTCTGCCTTGTGGAAAAGGGATTGGTCACATATCTAATGCTTGTCAATTGTAGTAATCCGTGAGGCAGGCATCCTGGAAGCAGGATGTCAGGGCAAAAGCAGAACAACTCCATTTGTTCCCATCTGTATTCAGCCCAGAGATAATGAAAAAGGCTCACAGAGGAAGGGAGGATTTTCCCCTCCATTCCTGACTGCTTTACTAAAAGGGCAAAAAGGATGTTGATAGAAGTGTCTGGAATGTCTCCTTTTTTGCAGTGGTCTTTTGTAAGCAGAATCCTCCCCACCTTCTCCCTCTTCTCTTTCCCCCATCAGAGCTCCTTCAGGAAAAAAAAAATATCCTGTCCCACAATCACTATGCACCTGTAAATACAGGTTTCAAAACCTGAAACAAATCAAAAATCTCAAAAGTTTCATAGTTTTAACCATTTCAGATAAGGGAGACTCAACCTCTAGTCAATTTTCTCTAAGTTCATCATTTGTAAGATCTGAAGACTAATTGGATGCTTTTACTTTGTGCAACTCTAATAGTAAGTTCTTTTGCTAGAAATTGCTGATATACAGTAACTGTGATGTAGATTTATACTAATAAATTCAATCAATCCCAGCACACAGGAAAAAAATTAATCTTCCCCTAAGTTACTATGTGTTTCCCCTCCAGAACCCCATTTTTCATGTGGTTCTAGTTCTAGCTAAAAACAATAATAAAGAAGATTCCACAAGACTGATGACTACACAGACCTGTTATGTATTGTCCATAATGGCGCTTCTGCATAGCCACTTCTTTATAGCAAATCACAACCTCTTTCAAGATAAGCTTTTAAGAGGCTATTTTATTTTCCTTCTGTTCAGACTGTTTATCACAAATGCTTGAAATGGGCATACACCAATGATTTTTGTAGGATGGAAACTTTGTGTTCCTTGCTCATAGCACTGATCACTGCTATGCAATTCTGGAAGGATGCTAAAGAAGATGATGTACTTGAAAGGTTATAGAGTCATACCAACAGCCAGATTAAATCCTATCTTGAAAGAATGAAGCAACTCTCCAAATTCTTTTTAAGACTGATATTAATCTAGGCCCTTCCAGACAGGCCCTATATCCCAGGATCTGATCCAAGTTTTCTGTTTATTTGGCAGTGAGGATTCATATAATCCAGTTTAAAGCAGATAACCTAGGATCAGATTATGGAATTTGGGCCTGTCTGGAAGGACCATCAGTTACTGGATTTACTCTTTTAAACTGACTTGAGATTTTGCTTGGTGAAAAGCAGTGTAAGTACTATAAGGCAATATATAACTCAAGATTAAAGGACAGCAACTTGGATGTAGAAAACAGAATGTTTGTACAACATTTGTTTTTTTTTTTCTAGTTTAGAATATAATCTGCCTTACCTGAAGTAACGTGACAGGTAATTTTTCACCCTTCTTGGTCCACAATGGCATCATTCCCAATTTTACAGCAATAATACCAACTCTTCTGGAACCTATAAGGAATAGTAGAAGGAAAATATAATATATTCACGCCTACTTACTAAATGTCTAGCTTACTACATAACAATAACAAAGGGTACTTTAAAACCTACACCAATCCTCTTCAGGCAGAAAAAGACTGCTAAATGGGAAAACAGAGCCCCAATAATGCAGTTTTTGTGATATGCAACCATGTATCATGCCATACCTCTCATATTTTCTTCCATCCCTTCAAAAAAACATTTGTGAGTTTGACTGGACTGGGACTGATTGGTGGTAAAGAAAAGCTAGGTAGGATGCAGGTTTACCATCTCTGAATGTGGAGTAATGAGAATTTGTCAGATCCAAGTTCCAGTCCCTTACTGAGCCACATAAGTCACTCAGTCATTTTTGGTCCGTAATTTCACTTGGTGTCTAAAATGATGCTGTGCTATCCTCTCTACCATTTTAGTTATAGGCTGGAGCCACAGTGCTGTACAGCAGGGCAATAACCCCCAGGAGACCTTAGAAAGTTGTCATAAAAGCAGCCTTTTATGACAACTGCTTCTGCATTTTTTTAATTGAAAGGACCAAGGCAGTGACATCTCCAGCTCATCACTTGTTTGGGTATCAGCCAGCACGTCAACGACTTAAATCAAGAAATAGTTTTCTAAGATCTACAGAGACACTCGCTGGAACACCCCAGCAAGCGAGAGTCCAAAAGTGGCAGGCTCAAACCCAGAACCTCAATCAATGGCTGATACCAAATGAGAGACTCCCCCCTGGGCACACAGAAAACTGGGCAACTTGGAAGGCGCTGAACAGACTGCGCTCTGGCACCACGAGATGCAGAGCCAATCTTAAGAAATGGGGCCACAAAGTGGAATCCACGACATGCGAGTGTGGAGAAGAGCAAACCACTGACCACCTGCTGCAATGCAACCTGAGCCCTGCTACATGCACAATGGAGGACCCCCTTGCAGCAACACCAGAGGCACTCCAAGTGGCCAGATGCTGGTCAAAGGACATTTAATCAACTACCAAGCTTGCAAACTTTGTGTTTTGTCTGTTTGTTTGTTTGTTTTGTTAAAATGTAATACAGATGTCTGGTTGCTCCTGACATGATAAATAATTTTTTTAATTGCCCCAAAATGCCTCCTAGGAGACATGGGGCATTTTCGACATGTTCTGAAACCTTCATGGGACCTTTGAGGCACACGGGAGGTTTGTTAAACAGGAAATTAAGTACAAGCCACTTCCTATTCACTTTGTGTTTCAAAAAAAGCTCTCTCCTGTGGATAAATATGGTGGAAATGTGCCCTTTAACCTCTAGAGAACATTTTACTGTAAAACCAGTTTCAAAATAGGTGGTAACTTAGGGAGCCTCTAAACGTGATGAAAATACCCCCACAATCCCAAAGGATGTTTTGATGCTTTTTTTCAATATCTGGTGGATTCTGGTGTCAGAAAAAGACCTTGGGGACCACTTTGCCCATTCCTGCTATAGATTAGTTTCCATTTAGCCATGGAATTCACTTTGCTGGAATGTACCAGTCAATATCTCTCAGTCTCACTAATCTCACATTATTGTTAAGAGAAAGTATAATGGAAGGAAACTATGAACTCACTGAAAAGAAAGGAAATAAACGTAACCAACAGACATTAGCTGCCCAGCATGCTGAATGGGCTTGCATATGTTGGTTTTGGAAAATGGGTGGGTAATAAATGGAACACAATTTGTTCTGTGTTGTGTGAGCTGAGTCTAGAATGTACTGAACCACATTCATTGATTTTAAATACAATAAAAATAATGGCAGGCTCAAAGTGCAACATCAAGTATTGTCCCCCATTATGTTTGCTTTATCTGATTCAATTTTATACAAACCTGGTTGCCATGGTTGCAAAGGCCAAGGTTCATCTTTCAGTGGGCAAAGCTTATTGGCTGTTTGAGCTTGGATTTCTTCTTTCACAAATGTTTTAAGTAACTTGACATTCTCTTCTGAAAGATGCTCATCCCACCATGTGTTATTGTTATTAATGTGTCTGGCTACGATCCAGCATGGGCCCCTTGAAACACAAACAGAAAAAATCCTTGAGAAAATGAAATATGCTGTCACATTTCTAAGTGTTTAGTTCTTTAATCCTGACCATTATTTTACTAAATCAATATTTCACTAAAAGCCAAGAGATCTTAAAAAAAAAAAAAAGCATGACTGTTAGACACCTGTAACACATTCCTCAAAAGAAAGGCAGTAGGAATCTCAGATTTCATTTGCAACACTATGTGTAGAATGCCTTACCTTTGGAAGCCCAAATATTATCTACATTGTACCTTGACAGTAAAATATGAGCAATTTGGCTATTTTCATGGTGATTGTGTGACAGTTCAAAAAATTTAGAAAAACCTGAAGATTCATGTCTTTGGACTTTCTCACAAAATAGTTTCATTAAGCAAAAGAGATAAAAGTGGAGGCTGAAACACAATTACTATTAAGGCGTTCAGATTTACTCAAAAGCTCAAGAAAGTGTGTGAATTTTCTGCTAAGTATGTATATCTTTTTTTTTTWAAAAAAAAAKCCCATCTTAATCATATGAGAATGTAACACTTCATACATTTTCTCTTCTTTGACCCAACAGAGCAGTATTTCTCAACCTTCCTAATGCCTTGATTTTGTCATTTGGGAGTTGTAGTTGCTGGGATTTATGGTTAATCTACAATCAAAGAGRATTCTGAACTTCACCAATGATGGAATTGAACCAAACTTGGCACACAGGAAATACTGAAAGGGTTTGATGGGCACTGACCTTGAGTTTTGGAGTTGTAGTTCACCTATATCCAGAGAGTACTATGGACTCAAACAATGATAGATCTGGACCAAACTTAGCATGAATACTCAATATACCCAAATGTGAACACTGGTGGAGTTTGGGGGAAATAGACTTGACATTTGGGAGTTGTAGTTGCTGGGATTTATAGTTCACRTACAATTAAAGGGCATTCTGAACCCCACCAATGACAGAATTGGACCAAAGTTATTATTTATTTATTTATAGCATTTATATTCCGCCCTTCTCACCCTGCAGGGGACTCAGGGTGGATCACAATGCACATATACATGGCAAACTTCCCACACAGGACCCCCATATCTCACTGGAATGAGCTTCCCTCCAACCTCACACACTCTCCCTTGCCTGCACATGTGCACCATGCTGCCATGCGATGAGCATGTCTGCTCTCCCCTCCTCACTTGGAGTCTCAGGCACAGCCCTCCCCTTAGCTGAGAGGCCAGGTGAGATGGTGGCAAATCACAGCAGAGGAGGGCTTTTGGTGGGAGGATACACCATCTCTTTCCAAAAAGGAAGAAAAGGACAGGCAGAGAAATCTTCCAACATTCTCTGCCACAGGGATTGTAGTTAAGAATGGGGGGTGAGATAGTTAAGAATGGGGGAGAGACAACTGGAAGTGAGAGAAATTGACCCCCAGAAAGGGAAATTCACTTCTTAAAGAGTTATCATGCAGAAAGTGTGTCTTAACTGAAGCTGTATCCCCAATGGGTTGCTGTAAGGTTTTCAGACTATATGGCCATTTTCCAGAAGCATTCTCTACTGACGTTTTGCCTATGTCTGTCGCAGATGGACGGTGAAGCAACAGCTTTCCTGGTGGCCAGAAAAGTTGGAATGTTAAATAGCCTCTGACTGTCTATATGTGTTGTGTGTCTATGGCATTAAATGTTTGCCATGTATATGTACATTGTAATCCGCCCTGAGTCCCCTGCAGGGTGAGAAGGGTGGAATATAAATACTGTAAATAAATAAATAAATCTATGCCAGGCATCCTCAGAGGTTGGGAGACCTCACAACCTCTGGGGATACCTGCCATAGATGCAGGCAAAACATCAGGAGGGAATGCTTCTGGAACATGGCCATACAGCACAAAAAACTTACAGCAACCCGGTGATTCTGGCCATGAAAGCCTTGTATCCCCAATCCTTGTTTCCACAAAAAGCCATTTTTCTTTCAAAACCCAATGATCACAGGGACAGAAAGTGCAGTGAAATCTTCTGAAGAGGGTACAAAGCCAGCAAAACAAACACCATAAGGGATGAATTAACTGATTAACCAATTCATGAGTAAACCAGAGTTTTTTTAAACATGAAGCATGTGTTGGGGGTGGCGGGTAGGGGTGAGGTGGTGTGGGGGTTAAGAAACCTTAGCCACTTCTGGCTACAGGCCTGGGTGATAACCCTTCCTATGTTATCCAAAGCTAATATAGGTATCAATTTGGCTGGAGTTAACACTTAAAAATGTTCTGATTTGCCAACCAATTGAACTTAAGAGCAAACCTACAGATATGATTGTGTTCGTAATTTGGGGGCTGCTTATAGTGATCGGCACCACAAACCCACTTTCTTCAATATTGGTTTGAAAATGCCTGCAATAGGAATCACTCTGAAGACACACAATAACTGTTCGAAAAAAAACTTTCCAGCCCCTGAATGGAGAAACAGAGTATCCTGACTCAGGGCCCTTCCACACAGCCATATAACCCAGACTATCAAGGCAGACAATCCCACAATATCTGAACTGGGTTATCTACACTGACATATGAAGTCTGATCTAGCCAGGGTGGTCCACGCCTTAGTCACCTCCAGACTGGATTACTGTAATGCACTCTATGTGGGGCTGCCCTTGAAGAGGGCTCGGAAATTTCAAATGGTCCAGAGGGCAGTCAACCCCCCTGTTTAAGGAGCTCCATTGGCTGCCGTTCATTTTCCGATCCCTATTCAAGGTGCAGGTTCTGACCTACAAAGCCCTGAACAGTTTGGGACCCGTCTACCTGCGTGACCGCATTTCTGTGTACGAACCCACACGATCTCTTCGTTCATCTGGGGAGGCCCTGCTCTCGCTCCCACCTCCCTCACAGGCGCGATTGGTGGGGACGAGGCAGAGGGCCTTCTCCATGGTTGCGCCTCTACTCTGAAACTCACTCCCCAAGGATATCAGGCAAGCCCCCACATTGGCAGTCTTTAGGAGGAGCCTGAAAACGTGGCTCTTCCAGTGTGCCTTCCCTGAATAAAGGAAACAACCCCCTGCAAATACTCCGAGAAGCACTTTCATTACCTGTTGGGTTGCTCTTTACTTTTGATTTAAAACCCTCGTAATAGATAAATCCTCTGTTCATGTCCAGTGTTTATTTTTAAAGATTCTAACTATTACATTTGGCCCAGCCATAGGTTTTTAAATTCTTGTGAGTTATTGTCTACTTGTGAGATATATTAATTGTATTGTTTATTTTGTTTACTGCTTGTTGTTTTTATTATTGCTTGATGTTTCTGATGTGTTGTTGGGCTTGGCCTCATGTAAGCCGCTCCGAGTCCCTTGGGGAGATGGTGGCAGGGTATAAATAAAGTTATTATTTATTTATTTATTTATTTGCCTTACTTATATACCGCTGTTCTCAGCCCGAAGGCGACTCACAGCGGTTCACAACAAATACGAACAGCAAAAATTCAGTGCTACAGTATAAAAACAGTTAACAACCTAACACATTACACAATTAATAAACAGTTACTACAATACCCATTCACTGTCGTCTCATCATCAAAAACATGTTCCAGATTCGTCATCCATTGTTCCATTCCAGTGTTCATTAACCAATCATTGCACTAATTATTCGAACGCCTGCTCAAACAGCCAGGTCTTCACTTTTTTGCGGAATACCATTAGAGATGGTGCTAGTCTAATGTCCGTAGGAAGGGCGTTCCACAGCCGAGGAGCCACCACCGAGAAGGCCCTATCTCTCGTCCCCGCCAGCCGTGCTTGAGAAGCAGGCGGTATCGAGAGCAGGGCCTCCCCGGAACATCTCAAAGTCCTGGTGGGTTCATAGGCAGAGATGCGGTCAGATAGGTAGCTTGGGCCGGAACCGTTTAGGGCTTTAAAGGCCAACGCCAGCACTTTGAATTCAGCCCGGTAGCAGATCGGTAGCCAGTGGAGTTGGCGCAACAGGGGGGCTGTATGCTCCCTGCGCTCCGCTCCTGTTAAAATCATGGCTGCCGAGCGTTGGACTAGTTGGAGCTTCCGAGCTGTCTTCAAACGCAACCCCACATAGTTGGCCCTCCAGGTGTTTTGGACTTCAACTCCCACAATTCCTAACAGCCTACCAGCTGTTAGGAATTGTGTGAGTTGAAGTCCAAAACACCTGGAGGGCCAAAGTTTACCATGCCTGCTCTACACTGCAGAATGCCTGTAGTTTGAGACCACTTTAAGTGCCATGACTCAACGCTGTGGAATCTTGGAAGTTGTTACTTGGTAAGGCACCAACCCTCCTGGGCAGGGAAGGCTCAAGTTCTTGTGAAACTACAACTCCCACGAGCCAGGGCAGTTAATAGTGGTGCCAGACTGCATCGATGCTCCCTGAAACAGCACTCTGTTGGGATTCAAGCGCCTTGCACACCAGGCTTGCTCCCTTTTCCCTGCTTTTAAGAGGCAGGGAGGCAGAGAACCGACAAGGCCTCCACAGAAGAGCCAGACCACCCGCTCTCAAGGAGATAATAAACCCCCTACCGGCTCCTCAGCCCGGCCTCTGAGGCTTCCGCTGCCGCACGAGCCGAAGCCAGGGCCCCTCTGGGCAACATGTGCCTCCCCAGGCGGCACAACAGCCCCGCGGCCGCCATGACAGCACCGGTAGCAGCGCCCGTTGCCGAGGAAGAAGGGCGTCCGTCTCCCAAAGCCTTCCCTCGTCGCACGCGAACGTTAGTTCCGGGTGCCTTTGGTTCCTATCAGCCCCATTCTGCGGTCCCGGGCAAACCGCAGAATTGGACTTCAATTCCCAGAAGCCCTTGCCAGCTTGGCCAATACTGAGGAATTCTGGGAGCTGAAGTCCAAAAAACCCCCTTGAGGCCCGAAACTTGAAAAACACTGCTTAAGAGTACAAAAGGCTTCCAGTATTGTCTTCAGCCTCATCCACACTGTCATAAAACATTATCATCATCATCATCATCATCACTTAATTTCTTAATTAGTCGCTCTGAGTGACTTACAATTTAAAATAGCTTATACACAATATAAAACATTCAACATAAAAACATTCAATATAAAAACATTCAACATAAAAACATTCTGCAGTGACTATGGCAAAAATTTGATCCGGTTACTTAAATGCACAGCCAAACAGCCAAGTCTTGAGCGCCTTTGCAAAAGGTCGCAACTCCGACATTGCTCTAATATATGGAGGCAATGAGTTCCACCGAACTGGAGCATAAATCGAAAAAGCTCTACGCCTCGTAGCTTCCAAATGTGCCTCCCTAGGACCCGGTATGTAGAGGAGATTTTCCTGGGTGGATCGAGGGGACCACTGATGGGGAAAAGGAATGAGGCGGTCTCTAAGATATAAAGGTCCTTGGCCATTTTGAGCTCTAAATGTCAGGATCAGTATCTTGTAAGAGATCCGATGTTCTATTGGTAGCCAATGCAGTTGTTGCAGAATCGGTGTAATATGGGATCTTATAGATGATCCCGCTAGCAGCCTGGCTGCCGCATTTTGGACCATCTGAATCTTCTGGGTCGTTGACTTCGGAAGGCCAGCATATAAGGCATTGCAATAGTCCAACCTCGTGGTGACTGTTGCGTGGATTACTGTTGCCAATGCTTCTACCGAAAGGTAGGATGCCAATTTCCTTGCCTGGCGAAGATGAAAAAAGGCCTGCTTACTTATGGCAGTGATCTGGGCCTCCATCGTCAGCGATGAGTCCAACACAACCCCAAGGCTTTTAACAGTGGCAGACGGAACCAGAGCTTCCCCATTACAGATACATAAAAATGCAAATTATTCACTACCTTGGCAGCCACCTCTCCACCAAAGTCAACATTGATACCGAAATACAACACCGCCTGAGCTCTGCGAGTGCAGCATTTTTCCGAATGAAGCAGAGAGTGTTTGAGGACCGGGACATCCGTAGGGATACCAAGGTGCTTGTTTATAAAGCTATTGTCCTCCCAACCCTGCTATATGCCTGCGAAACATGGACTGTCTACAGACGTCACATGCAACTCCTGGAACGATTCCATCAGCGCTGCCTCCGGAAAATCCTGCAAATCTCTTGGGAAGACAGGCGGACAAACGTCAGCGTGCTGGAAGAAGCAAAGACCACCAGCATTGAAGCGATGGTCCTCCGCCATCAACTTCGCTGGACCGGCCACGTTGTCCGGATGCCCGACCACCGTCTCCCAAAGCAGTTGCTCTACTCCGAACTCAAGAATGGAAAACAGAATGTTGGTGGACAGGAAAAGAGATTTAAAGATGGGCTCAAAGCCAACCTTAAAATCTCTGGCATAGACACTGAGAACTGGGAAGCCCTGGCCCTTGAGCGCTCCAGCTGGAGGTCAGCTGTGACCAGTAGTGCTGTAGAATTTGAAGAGGCACGAATGGAGAGTGAAAGAGAGAAACGTGCCAAGAGGAAGACGCGTCAAGCCAACCCCAACCAAGACCGCCTTCCACCTGGAAAGCAATGCCCTCACTGCGGAAGAAGATGCAGATCAAGAATAGGGCTCCAAGTCACCAACGGACTCACAAGAATACTGATCCTGGAAGACTATCCTACTCGGCCAACGAGGGATCGCCTAAGTAAGCAAAACATTATGTAACACGATCTTGCAGCACATTTTGCTATTAGTTTTTCAATGAATATCTAGGAAAATCATCTGATTCCTAATCCACTTTTCCACACATCTGAATAAAATCCCACATTATCTGCTTTGAACTGAAATATAGGAAGTGTGGCCTGAGGGCCCTTCCACACAGCCATATAATCCAAAATATCAAGGCAGAAAATCCCACAATGCTTTGAACTGGAATATCTGAAGGCCCTTCCAGGCCCCTTCCAAACAGCTGAATAAAATCCCACATTATCTGCATTGAACTGGAATATATGGCAGTGTGGACTCAGATAATTTATTTTTATGCTTCAAATACGAGGAGTATTTTAAGTAAGGTCCGTTTGAACATAAGTACACAACGAAAGTTTATTTCAAAAAAGTAAATTTATTTTCAGAAAGTACATACTTCACTCTATTTTTCGACATAGTTGCCAAGTTTGTTCAAACACTTATCATACCTCTGAACCAATTTTAAAATACCATCTTCATAAAAACTTGCCACCTGCTGAAGCCACCAAATCGTCTGTAATCAAAGAAGGGCGACCGGAGCAGTCCTCATCATGGACGTTGTCACGGCCATCTTTGAATTGTCATACCCACTTACGCACTTTGCTTTCACTCATAACAGTATCACCGTACACTTCACAAATCTGTCGATGAATTTCTGCAGCAGGCAGGTTCCTTGCTGACAAAAACCGTATCACTGAGCGAACCTCACATGCGGAGGGTGAGTTGATAGTCTTAAACATTTTTAAAGCACAGAACAGAACCGTACAGGTTAGCTACAGAGCGGAAACTGAGCACAGTTGTTCCCGAGGAATGCCAGTACACAACACACGCGCTCGTTGCGGTATGTGTGCGAACTACTAGTGTCTACAACAAAATGGACCTTACTTAAAAAATACCCCTCATATATACCGCCTTTCTCACCCCTGGGGGGACTCAAAGTGGTTTACACATAAATAAAGGCAAGATTCAATGCCTTACATTGGGCACCGATACGATGCCAATACAAACAATTACAATAGTAAAACCACAATTAAACATAAATCACAAATTAAAACAATACATCAACAAGCATTAAAACAATAAAACAGTCTCGTCAGTTGAATGGCCGTTCTGGTCAATGTCCCTCTAAAATGCTACATACATCTACTGTCTGAAGGCCTGGTCCCAGAACCATGATTTTAATTTTTTTCTAAAAGCCAGGAGGGAGGGAGCAGATCTTACCTCATTTGGGAGTGTGTTCCATAAGCGGGGGGCCACAGCCGAGAAGGCCAAAGCTGATATTGTGGGATTTTCTGCCTTGATATTCTGGAACATGACTTCTCTTTTGTAGGTATGACCATAGATAGGATTTACACTGCCATATAATCCAGTTTCTTAAAGCAGGTTATCTGCTTTGTACTGGATTATATGCCATGTAATACAGTTCAAAGCAGATAATTGATTCAGAAACCGAATTATATGACAGTGTAGATGGGGTCGTCTTTCATCTTTACATATGCAGTATGACCATATTATCCACGGATTAGATATCCATGTTTTTACATACCCATGGGCTAAAAGATACTCCTCCCCCAGAAATATCTGGGGGTCACTTTTGGTCCTCCAGTGCAATTTTATTGTATGCTTCTGGCCCAAGTGTAGTCAAAATATAGGATTCACTGTTATCCATAGTTTCAGTATTCTGCGTGGAGGGATCTTAAGACATATCTCCTTAGCACATGGGAATTATGCTCTATATCAGAGCTTTCCAAACTGTGTGTTATGGCACAAACTTAACAAATATCTGAGTCAATGTGAAATGAGCAATACATTTTTTTAAAAAAATAAATGAGTTTTGTGAGTTACATTGTGTCCCCATACATTTCATTATGTAGCCAAAATCTGTGGTCTCCCAAAGGGCCAAGACTTTGCTAAGCTTGCTAGAGCCTGGCGAGAAACGCTAATTAAAGTGATTTTCAGACAAGTGAAGAAGATCTGCACCAGGTTGAAGGCAAGCAGACAGAGATTTTATTCACTCTGCAGAATGGATGTTATGTACAGCAATAAGATGCCAAAAGGTACAAGCATAAGCACAAAGTCAAAAACAGGCCCTTCTATACTGTAGTTCTCCATTCACTTGCATTGTCCCATTCAAACTTCTCTACCTTGTTCCCGATTGGTCCAGGGCCCGAAAGCCAGTCTATTGGCTGATGCTATGCATGGTTTTGGAAACAAAAAGCTATGGCATGAGGTACCTGCTAATTTGAAGCGCTAATGAGAGCTTTTGTAATATCATGCTGTGTGTACTGAAGATGCTCTGTACTTCCTTTCTGGCAAGAAAATACATATCAGATAAATAAAAACACACACACCGATTGGCTGGATTTTGATATGACTTGTGGACAAGTTAAAGCTCACCCTGCAAGAAGGGGAAAGCCTAGTTGCCTACACTTCCGTTTTCCTAAACAGACATTCAAAAAAGGCTACTCTACTCAGAGAAAAGAATTGTCTCTTTGTGATACAACTGTACCTTAACTCCTTCCCTGGGGAACATAAAAGAAGTACCAAGTATCTCTACACTCTCCACCACTTCTGGCTTTCAAGGTAGGAAAATGGCAGTGGTGGCTCTTTGGTGCTTCCCTTCGAAGACGAACTGAGAGAATAGACTGGTTTGATGCTTCTTTTAGGTTGTTCCTAAACAGACTAAGTTCTCGCATTTCAACTCTCTACTTGAAGAAGGGAATGGCTCCATATTCCTGAAGGGTTCAGTACATACACTGACTAGGGAAAAGTTGACCCAGGTTATTGTAAAAAGCTTTCATGGCCAGAATCACAACGTGTGAGGATGCCTGCCACAGATGCAGGTGAAACGTCAGGAGGGAATGCTTCTAGAACAGGGCCATACAGCTCAAAAAACCTACAGCAACCCAGTTGACCCAGTTCTTTGGATTGGTTTTTTACTATTCTTTCTAGACTTATACACGAATATAGACAGTAAATGTGTAGTTTCTGGAATGATAGTTCTAGTGAAAAACGTCTGAGACCAGCCCAGTCTCCTCAGTGTGTTTATAAGTCAACACTTATGT